ATGGAACCAAGGAAAACAATATTTTAAAGTAGCTAAGTCTCGAACTCAATATCATCTAAGTGCAACATTGAAAACACGAATTATTTGTCAATTCACCGGGAAAAGATGGGCTTTTGATATCCAATATTTAAAACAAAAGAAACATTTACCATTGCTACACGAATCGTGTACCATAATGCCTTTGTAACAAGGAACATGAAGAACGAGGCTAGACATATTCCACAAGTCATGTCAAACGGTGAAGAGCATGCGCATTAAATACTATCGGTGTAGACTGGAATAACCAGACGCGAGAAATTGCCATTCGATTGAGACATAACTGATTTGAAATTAAAGTTAAAAACGGAAACGATTGAATGTAAATCAGTTTATATACATTATAATTACATAATTATAATGTTGCGGCCCATTTGTGTCAATTTCTAGGCCCCAAATTATAGCGATTTAGCTCCTTTAAGTTTGCACCAACACCTGTTCGCACATAGGCTGATAGATCTTAGATTATCTCGAGGAAAATAAACGGAAAGGATTTTAAAAACAGAAAATGACGTGGCCTGCCTTATTAAGGCAGAAATGAACTAAAATGGGGTTTTAACTTCCTACATTTCTGCACAGACTGGGATTTTGAAGACGGGCATGCGCCATGCAGTGTGTGCTATGAGGGACATGGTGCCTGGACAGTGGCGCTACGGTCTAATCTTATATCGAATTCTAACTGTGGGGGTCCTTTTACGTGCACGCCTATGTGTATACTGCAACTCGGTTTTCGTCCCATCCGAACGACTACACACCTCCCCCTTGTCCGCACCACAGACAAGGGGAAACCAAGCACGCCGAAAAAATGATTAAATCGAAAAAACATTTGCGTCCTCTAGAGGTTCCAGAACCTAAAAACGAGATTTTTCGTACAAATATGGGCAATAAATGCAGGGATTTAAACATATTTTAAGTTTCAACAAAATTGGATAAAACTTATAACTTAAGAGGCTTCACAAACTATTTTTCTTGCTTAAAATACATATTTTCATTAAGAAAAAGAAAAGTGATTTAACGTCCTACTTTTCAACACTTAACAGCCGGGCTAATAAAGACGGACCTGAGCCATGGAGTTTGCTATGAGGCACATATTACGTTTCCTCTTACGCTTTATCGCATTCCATCTGCCATGGGCTATTTTTCGAACCATCCGAACGACTGGGTTATGTTCCTTGCCAGGGTCTCCTCATTACAACACTGACATGTGGAAAACACGAATTAAAATCCCAAGGAAATAGTTATTTCAAATGGGAAGTCGCGCCTTGAGTTGTAACTTATAAAGTGTTCCACTGTTTTACGCCAAATATTTTAAGTTCTTTCGCATATTTCCCCTTTAACTAAGTGATTTATATTTCAGATCTTGTCCATAGAGAACTGAACAATGTGTGGTAAATACTATGTATGAAAAAGAAGATTTTATCAATTACGACAATGATACACAAATCTGCCCACTCATTGAAAAACAAAGTTGGAAAATATGGCCTTCGAAGCAATTTACTTTACTTCGTGCTATTAGAGAGGAGTAAATCATATTTGTCTGATAAAGGTTATTATGGTGTGGGTGGAGATGTCATTGTATGTGTTGTCCTTTTCTTCGCGAATTGGCAATTTTTTTTATCTTTAAATTGCCTTTTGATGATGATGCCGACTATTTTGTTGTTTTATTCTTGGGGTTTTTTTTTCAGAGTTTTTATTTTGTCATCACCTGAGCTTTTTTTCGGATCTATTAAAAACTGATTGTTTGTTAGAATGAAAGCCTGCTTCCACGATGGTGATATGACAGACAATATGAGAAAAATGTTGGGCAAATAATTGATATGATGAAAGCGGCGCTACGGTTCACTCTTCCAACTGTCAAGGGTTCGTTTACGTGAACGCCATTGTGTACACGGGACCTTGTTTTTTTGTCCAATCCGAACGACTATACGTTCTCCCTTGTCAGGGCCTCCGTCCAACACCACTGACAAAGGGAACCAAGTCAGAAAATCCCGATGAACTTTCTCGGCCAACACAGGGATCGAACATCCTACTCACTAAGCCACCGTACACCTCACTGATTTAATTCGAATCCCCGGTTGTACGTGACAAGGAGTTGAGTCGCCTGTCCAACCTCGTGGGTTTTCTCCGGGTCCTCCGGTTTCCTCCCGCTGCTAAAGACACCTACGCGCAAGCGAATTATTGAAATAAAATTAAACCATGTTAGTCCCAAAATGACCTAGTTTGTGTCGAGTGGACGTTAAACCCCATTTCTCTCTCTCTCTCTCTCTCTCTCACTGATTTAAAAAACTGGCAACTGTAGTACTTTCATCCAATGTCCTTTAGAAACTTGCACTCAATCAAAATGTGCTTAACTGTCAAAGGGACATAGTGTTTACACTCTGGTTTATAATATGTTGATTTGTTTTCATTATTTACTGGAAATGTTCATTTTGTCTAAGAAGTTACCATTAGTCCCAAATTGCTTATTTTCCCAACTTAGTCAACTGTAAGTGAAACTGGACAATAACCCGATAACTCTGCCTTTGTTAAATCTATTTTATACACATTTTCCCAACTTAGTCAACTGTAAGTGAAACTGGACAATAACCCGATAACTCTGCCTTTGTTAAATCTATTTTATACACAATTCTTCAATTTATTTAACTGTTATCTAGGTAAATTCCACACTCTTTACTTTAAGGGATCGCAACTGTGTGATATCATTTGTATTGTGCTTACATATTCACTAAAGATGTGACGAAATATTTTTGGGTTGTGAATATCTGGACCTTTACTGCCAAGTTCTGTTGGATAGTCATGATTTTGAGGTGGAAGGATCACGAAGTAAATAGAAATAAATCAGGGTAATCACCTTCTAATTTGACGTGAGCAGGGAGGTAACTCTGCTGAGCTCTGAGATCCAATAAACTACATTACGACAGGGTCTCCGATTTTGATAGCGAACCCACACCAATGGCATGCTAAGCCCCCGGTGTTGATAAGAAATGAAATGAAATGGGGTTAAACGTTCTACTGTTCTGCCCCTATACTGTGCTAATGAAGACGGTAGACTAAACATATGTGTTAAGGGACATGTTCGAGTGTTGTATGTATCGGACCGCAACTTTTGCTTTACGCACAGTATGAAATATGTATAATAGAACGACTGGCGCAGAAAAGTAGTAAAATTAAAGAGGGAGAGTGAGAGTGTTTAGGGGCGGGGGGTTAACGTCCACTCGACACAAACTAGAACATTACGGAACTAACATATGGTACAATTTTATTTCAACAATTCGATTACGTGTAGGAGTCATTAACAGTGGGAGGAAACCGGAGGACCCGGAAAAATTCCACGATGTTGGACAGGCGATCCTACTCCTTGTCACGTGCAACCGGGGAATCGAAACCACCCCAGTTGACTCAATGACAGACCTTATGATACAACGCGCTACCCATTCGGCCACCCCACCCCCCACTAAATTAAATGAAATAGGGTTTAACGTCCTAATGTTTTGCTCCGAGTGGCTTTATGAAGACAGGCATGCACAATACAGTGTACTATGAGGGGAACTTAGTCCGGATAGCGGCGCTGCGGCCTACTCTTATATTGAATTCTGACAACGGGTCTTTTACGTGCGCGCCAATGTGTACTTGGGAACTCGGTTGCGTTGCGTACATACCATTGTCAGGATTGGTGTATTACATTGCATTGTCAGTGTGGGTGCGTTACATTTCATTGTCAGGGTGGGTGTTTTTGTCATTGTGGGTGCATTATGTCAAAGTGGGTGCATCGTTACATTTCATTGTCAGGATGGGTGCGTTACAATAATAGACACTGGCGGACTAGTGCACCTGCAGACTAATGAGCATTCGCGATTTGTTGTTAGTACTTGAAAACAAATTGAAGCAAGACCAGATTAAATACACTGAATTTTATTAATCTGTAAGCATTTTCTTTAAGCCAACTTTTTAGTCAAGTCGATGAAACAACTGTGGTGGTCAGGGTTCCAACAGCAGTTGGTACACTCAATCCGATTGGGTCGCACATTAATTATCCATTGAATAAAATGTAGTGTTCGTAGATGAGTAAACAGTAATGAGCTTTTTATGGTTTCGGTATTTTAAGCAAACTGTCGATGTATTTCAACAAGCCGAATTTAGGTTGATAATAAAATCAGATGAAAAGTACGATTTCAGTTTCCGGGTCCTAGAATTAATGATTTTAGCGGCATTAAATGAGCAACAACAATGCTCTAATTTTTAAACAAGTTCTTATCTCGTAATTATATTAATTTGATATTCTGTGTTATTCTAATTGAATGGCATTTAGTAATTGAATACATTAAGATAATAACATGAGTTCAATGGATAAACAATTACTGTATTTAATCGGAGCTATGTTTCAACAATGATTCTATTGTCGTCATCTGATATTGCCTCATATAAAAGTATAGAGCGCTATAGAATCTTTAATATATAGAAACACCAGGCCACAAATGGGTAAATTCAGATCAGTATTTACAAAGATATGTGGAATTGAAATTTCATCGATTTATATTGCTCGCTATGCAATAAACCCGCCACCATTTAACATCACATATTGTGTTAAATAATTAATCTTGAGTACATTCGCTTGGATTAAGCCGCGAGAAATTTGATATTTGAGCGAATAATGCACACCGGGGCCTTAAATGCGCTATCTTTGTAGTCATCGGTTACTTATTTTATGTGATCGATGAATAGATTAACCACCTACTTCTTTTCAAAATATATTTTTACCGAGCAAGCCTTCTTCAAATAATAAGTTTTAGTCATAAACGCGCGTGGACTTTCGAGGCTTAAGAAATACGTGCTTTTGAATTAACTAAATGGGGACGGTAATTTGGTAAGAACGTTTAAGAATGCGGTAAACCCAGAAGATATTGTTCATTATGTCCAAAAAAATGCCCCTCATACAAAAGCATTCATAACCTGTAGCTTTTTGTGCGGATGGGTAAGCATAATGACAGAGGATTGAACTTTGAAACATGCAAATCGCCAATGCAGAAATATATATATATGTATAAGGGTGGAGTCACAAATAGCTGATAGTTAATTACTGCTTCTTTTCAAACGCCTATTCATCCAGTGAATGCTACAATTTTGAATATATGACGAATGTGTATTTAGAAGACCAATTCTGGGTTCATACCATACCCTATATTACAGACAACATCTGTTTTTATCCGGTTTAATAGTTTGTAATTAAGTGAACTAGTTTAATCTACGTCTTGGACAAAAACGAGTTTATCGCTTACTGGAATGCGAGCATTTCGACACCATGGAATCATTTTCGGAAATTGTTATTTTTGGTAAGTATGATACCAGGTTTTATATTTGTGGACAACAGACCTTAAATCATATTTTTACGCCCACATGGCCCGTCCGTCGGTACGGCATTCACAATTGCTGGTGGCCGCTCTAAGAGGCTAAAGTGCCTAAAGTTAATATACGATTGACTTTAAATTTATACACAATGTTTAAGGTCAACAGACGAAAAAGCGTACTGATTTTCAACCAATACCGATAAGTACTGTCAACAGGCTTTAGAGACCATAGTTATCATCTGATTGATTTAATATTTATACACCGTGTTTACGCCTATATATAATCGTATCGATTGACTTTAGACTGATACACAGAGTTTAAGGTCTTGAAACGAAAAAGTATATAGATTTTTAATGTTTGATAACTTGAACAGCTAAATCCATGATATTAAATGTTTTGTATACTTAACGTTAGCATGGGCAAAAACAATTCTAATGATTTTATGATAATTACTTAATGAGTTGTTACTCTTAATCAGGTTTTGGTGTATTATAAATATTTCATTACAGACAAAAGTAAAAATATGCGACAACTCTTGTTGACTACCTGGACGATTTAGCTGCTGTGGGCATATTTTTCGTTGCCTGGCAACCTATCTTTAATATTGTAAGCGTGTATCGGAAAACTAATCAGTATATAATAACTTCCAATTTTTATTTGTTCTGTCGGTTATAAACCAGCGGTTGCCATGCAAGATACGCACAAAATTTTGCATGAGATGGACAGAGAAGGAGCTAAAATCGGGGGCCATAATCCAGTAAGTTATATTCTGAAATGTACGAATATCGAAAGGAACTGAGATTTGTGGTATATAAACATATATTTCAAGTTTCATCAAAATCAGACAAAATTGTGATCTCTAGAGGGTCAACAAACTTATATTACATACTTTTACATTATTTGCGTACAAGGAACAGCCATATGCTCGGACAGTTTCGTTTCGATTTTCCCGAAATTCTAACTCAACCTTATGTATGGTGATATAATTAATCGGATAAACATTGTGACCTCTAGAGGTTCTACAAACCAAAATTGCGATTTTTTCGTACAATCAGGGGCCATAATCTAGGACGATATGGTCTGATATGCGTGAATATCTTAAGGAACCGAGATCTTTGGGATATAAACATATATTTTAAGTTTCATCAAAATCAGATAAAAAGATACTGTTCGATATGCACTAGTATCGACAGAACCCCAGATCTGTGGGTTATAAACATATATTTCAAGTTTATAAACATCAGATACACATTGTGACCTCTAGAGTGCCCACAAGCTAAAAACGTGATTTTTCGTACAGACAGGGGCTATAATCTATGAAGTTACTGTCCAATAATGCCAATATCGACAGGAACTGAGATCTGTTGGAGACAAACCTACTAGGAATTGTATTTTGAATGCCCTTGGTTACATAGTGTGAAGCCAGAACAACGCTACTATCTTTGTGCTAAGTAAAATCAGCCCATTAATCTAATGTTCAGGTTAGCAAAAATATTACATTTTAGAAAATATATTAAATTTTAATATGAAAACATGGGGCCATTTTCATTAATTGGTACTTAGTGACTCAAGCATAATTTTTTAAAATAAAGTTTATCTCAAAACTGACACCCAAGCCGGTCTCACAGGGGCGTGCGTAGGGTGACTTCATATTCCTAGCATTGTTTTGTTTGATCCACCCGATCCTACCCAAACACTGCAGGATAAACTAATGATTCCTATCCCAATGATTAACAGAGAATCCATTACGTAAAAGTGTGTAATTATTATCGCGGCTAAATTTATCATGGGCGATTAACCAGCTCTTAAGTAGAATATTGCAGCAAAATTAATTGTGTGACAAACGAGGCTATAATCCGAAATCCCTACCTCTGTTCTAAGGCTATAACGGACTATTTTTCAAAGTCTCGGCCAATCAAATTGCTTAACGCTCTGCTTACCCTGAGCAGAAAATGCTCATTATCGAACTTAGTCAAGGTATTAATGTAACGAAACTATACACCAAGTTTCATCACTCTTACTTATTTAGAACTAACGTTATTGTGTCACAAAGCATCAACCAATCAAATTGCTTACCTCTGCTTACCCTAAGCAGAAAATGCTTATCTTCGAACTCCATCAAGGTATTCACCTAATAAACGCCTACACCACGTTTGGACATTCTAGCTCAATTAGAAGGAGAGTTACTGTGTTCCAAAGTCTCGGCCAATCAAACTGCTTATCGCTCTGCTTACCCTGAACAGAAAGTACTCATTCTTCGAAAGGCGGTGGACAAAAATAGAAAAGCGGTATTGTCATATTGTGGCTATTCTGAACAGCCCAAAAAACGTCTATACAACGTTGCAGTGTGAATGATTCAACCAGGTATGGAGGTGCATTTTATAGGGCTGGTCCCGGTGAACAGCACGTGTAGCATGATTTACATGGAGAACACATTACCATCTCAGAAGTCAGGTTGCGTTTTTGAGAACATTTCCTGGGTTCAATTTTGTATTTGGGAAGGAACCTTATTGCTCAGGTAAAGTTGGCGATGTGGTCACAAATATACAATACAAGCCAACAGTGAGGCTGATGTCCCCAGCCGAAATCCCAAAATAAATAGATGACACACATCACTGTCTATCAGATAGAATCAAGATTATCTTGTCCCAAAGCATTGGCCAATTAAATTGGTTAGCTCTGCTCAGCTTCAACTCGAAATGTTAATCATTGAACTCAGTCAAGACATTCACCTAATGAACATCTACACCAAGTCTAAACATTCTACCTCAATTAAAAGCAAAGTTGTTATGTTCCAAAGTCTTGACCAATCAAATTTCTTATCGCTCATTAGCCTAAGCAGAAAATCTCACCATCGAAATTAGTCAAGGTAATGATATAATGAATCTATATTCGGAGTTCCATCGCTCTCACTTCATTATAACCAAAGTCATATCGTCCCTGAAAGCATCAACCAATCAGATTTCTTATTTCTGCGTGCCGTAAGCAGACAAAGTTCATCATAGAACTCCATCAAGGCATTCACCCAATGAACGCATACACCAAATTTAACCCTTGTACCTCAATTAGGAGAGTTATTGTGTTCCAAAGTCTCGACCAATCAAATTGCTTATCGCTCTGCTTACCCTCGGCAAAATATTTCCGTTATCGAACTTAGTCAAGGTATTGATGTAATAAAGCTATACACCAAGTGCCCTCACTCTCACTTAATTAGAACTAAAATTATCGTGTCCCAAAGCATTAACCTGAACAGAAAGTAATTCTTCGAAAGGCGGTGGACAATAATAGAAGAGCGGTATTGTCATATTGTGGCTATACTAAAGAGTCAAAAAACCCAAAAAAACGTCTGTACAACGTTGCAGTGTGAATGATTATTAGTGAGCAGAAATTCGCCCGTATATCCGTTATCACTCGTCACATCAGTCAGTTATATAGAGAGATGACTCGTGTTTTCCTTTGGCGTTCGTCACTTCCGATTCTGGAAAACTACATTACTCAGCTATCGTAGCAATGATCTCGGTGTTAAAATTATATTTGGAATGTGTTTAACCAGCTCTATCACATGTGTGTTAATGACTGGCACCAACATTGTCCTTTAATTAGAACTAAATTTATCGTGTCCAGAAGCATCAACCAATCAAATTGCTCATCTCTGCTTACCCTCAGGAGAAAATGCTCATCTTCGAACTCCATCAAGGCATGGACCGAATGAACACATACACCAAGTTTGAAGATTCTAGCTCAATTAGGAGAGTTATTGTGTTCCAAGGTCTCGACCAATCAAATTGCTTATCACTCTTACCCTGAGGAGAAAATGCTTATTATCGAACTTAGTCGAGGTATTGATGTAATGAAACTATACACCAAGTTTCATCACTCTTATTTAGAACTAAAGTTCGTGTCCCAAAGCATCAACCAATCAAATTGCTTATCTCTGCTTACCCTAAGCCGAAAATGCTCGGCCTAATCAACACCTACACCAAGTTTGAACATTGTAGCTCAATTAGAAAGAGAGGTATTGTGTCCCAAAAAGTGTGACGGACGGACCCATTTTAATAGTCCCCTTCTTTTTTTTCAAAACTATTTTGTAGTTTTGCCTTAAAATTTTAACGTCGGCTTATTTACACAAATTATGAACTTTGTGTCCAGAAAACAGCACGCAGTGTTTAGAAGAGAACACATGGTGTTCAGGACTAGCCCAAGTTATGCAGTTGATGTTTTCAGTACATATGTTCATTATGCATACATATTTGACGTAAAATAGCACAATAAGTGGTGGTTGACTTGAAAATGTATTTTTTTTTTAAAAGCATAAAAGTAGTTAAGATACATAGAAATTACGGATTAAGCCTACTTTGAACAAAATACTATTTTATCATGAGAAACCAACATATGTACGTTTTAAAGAAAGCCTACCAAAATTGTCTATAGATAACATAGTTTATGGAGGATTAAACAGGATTTAAAACCGAGATCAGAACACCTCTTGAGCCTTACAAATGGCGTCTAAAAGCAGTGTCGTGTCACGTGGTATACAGCGCATGCGTAAAGCGGCCTGTTTGCTTTTTTTTAGTGTTCATAGTTGAACGCATAGCATTCATATTAGAACGCTCCCCTGGACGTTAAATGTTCACAACATTCCTCGTGTAAAATGAGTTAATGGGCCTGAAAATGCACCACAATCCATAAACCCGTGTTTTTGAACTCCGGACGAAGAATATTTACCAACGGTATATGAATACTTCGTTAAAACTTCCAACATTTTATCTATAGCGATATGTCTGACAGGCGTGGAGAACCATTTTAACATCAATAACTGGCAAGAACGCATGTTGTTAGATGGGTTCGGAGCTTTTAAGTTTCACCACTGAAACAACACCTTGTTATACGCCCACATTTTCATGTGGACGTGTATTGTGGTCTCTGTCCATCCGTCTACGTGAACACTCTACAGGTAATAATTTTTATCCGATTTCAATTAAACTTGAAATATAGATTAATCACCCTAAGATCTCGGTTCCTTTCGATATTGGCATGTAACTTCGTGGATTATGGCCCCTGATTGTACGAAAAATCACGTTTTTAGCTTGTGAACACTGTAGAGGTTACAATTTTTATCCGATTTAGTTTAATCTTAAATGTATGTTTATAACCCACAAATCTCAGTTCCTTTCGATATTCGCGCATATCTGACCATCACTTCCTGAATTATGACCCCTGATTGTACGAAGAATCGCGTTTTTAGCTTGTGGACCCTATAGAAGTCACAATTTTTATCCAATTTAAAAATAACGCATGAATATATCACCCTAAGGATGGCTCGGTAAAATATATGCAGCTTTATATAACTGAAGTGGACCGCGGAATACGAGCCTATTACGCCATAGGCGTGGTCATCATGTAATATGTCAGAACATCTGAAGGAGGCTATTGCCGAATGCTACGGATTTCCATACGCCACCATTTTTAGCATGTGCGCTGTAATTAGTAAACCTACTAGCATTGTTTGTGTCACGTTCCAAAAATCATTAGGACTTATAAACGACGAAAGTAAACTTGTAAAATGTTGACGATTAATACTTATGTCTATTTACTTTAGCATTATCTAGTCGAACTCCGGCAAACCTTTCAAATACAAGGCAAATTTATCCAAGGCAAATTTATCCACGAAACGAGTACTAGTAACGCTTTGTGTCAACACAGAAGTCTCAATTATCAAGTCTTCGATTACAAAATGGAAATTTAAGGAAATAGAATATGACCTCTCGATGGATATACATATATACTTGTACACAAATTAGATTTACTTTATTTTTGTTTCAAATGACAAAAGTCACCGCCAAGAAATAAGAAGTATATTGTCTAGCTCATTGCTATGGGTTACACGAAACCTAGTACATTTAATTAATTTGGCCGATAAATTAAAAGGACATGCCTCTGATATAAGTCAAATTATCGGGGTCTTAATCTGTTCAAAGTTAGTTTTAATTGTTCATTATTATTGAAAGACAGATGTCTTACTGCTTTCATAAAAAAAGAGTTTACGTTCGTAGATTAACAAAAAATGAGCTATAGCCTATTTTGTCTTTGACCGTCGTCAGCTTCGGACAATAACGTAAATACGGTTAGTAAAAACAACTTCATATCATTGGCTAAAAGAAACAAGAATTTTCACTGGAATACGCATCAATATTTATATATTAGTTATGTTCCGCGAATTTTGCCAACCCCATTTTAAAATTTGGACTACGTCCGCTTTTGGTAAGACATGTAATGCACCAGTAGCACTAGAATGGTTGCGTCTTCGGCTGTAGTTGGAACAAAAACATCATTATTTAAATATTTAAATGAATGGAGCACTCTATCGCCCTAGGTTGAACGAACAGAAGATAATATGGGTTTTGATAGAATTATTTAAGTTCATTATTATTTAACCACGAAATAGACTAAATATATGAAAAAAGGCTTATAATCGGTTTCGAAATTCCAGTAACCAATTCTCGGTAACATGTCCCATAATGTTAAGAAATTCGGTTGCATGAACATCATCATATACATGATTCCCAAGAAAACCGTCTGGTAAGTAGTGACTACATATTGGGTAGACGATTACTATGAACATTTTTTATTTCGATGCACATAATAGTTTTTTTTTAATGAAAACATATTATCGGCGAAAGGATCCTAGTAGGGAAAGGACTGTAATGTTTAAGTAAGAAAACATACAGCGCTAAAGCAAATATTTAAGTGTCACTATTAGTGGGGATTATATTTATTATGTACTATGTTTTATATGGACATTTGCAATACGTGTATTATAATCTGCATTTCGTATATGTGTAAATCTGGTAAGTACAAAACTCTTTAACCAAGTGTTTCCCTATCTAGTATTTGATTCAAGGTGGCTATGTGTATAAATATTATCCGTATGTGCATTTCAAATCCATGCTCGGCCGACTAAATCGACTTAGTGGGATTATAATATTTATTATGTAGGATGTTTTATATGGTTATTTGCAATACGTATATTATAATCTGCATTTCGTGTGTGTGTATATCTGGTAAGTACAAAACTCTTTAACCAAGTGTTTTCCTATCTAGTATTTGATCAAAGGTAGCTATGTGTACAAATATTATCTGTATGGGCATTTTAAATCCATGTTCAGCCGACTAAATCAGCATTCAAAACATAAATTCTTGTAATAAGAAAGTGGTATTAGGTGTTCTGAAGAGAGAACGCAAACCATTTGCTACTGTTAATCGGTCCCGGATTTCGGAAACTGAAACTAACCTATGAACGGCGACCCCGGGGTAAAAGCTACAGAAAACCGAGAAACAATTTTTCGTTTTAAATAAATCATTCAGATATTTGTTTTTATCTTAATATTTGTTACATTTCAGTTGTGATTTCACTAGGAACTATTGAAGTTGGAGCAATTAATCCTTGTGAAAATTACCGTGACTTTAATTTGATACGTGGAGTGTCATGTAACACCTATTTATTTTGTTTCCTTGGAAAGCCGTTTAGACAAGGATGGTGTTACCTAGGAACTGGATTCGACCCTATTTTAAAAAGATGTACTTGGCAAGCATTTTTACAATGTGAAAAAGAAGGTATGCTATAATGTATCAGGTAACGATATGTAAAAAAAAGTCCAACGATATGTCGATTAAATTTGAAATAAGTGATAATTTTTATACGCCCACATTTTCATGTAGACGTATATTGTCGTTGCCCCTGTCCGTCCGTCCGTCCGTCCACAATTGTTTGTGAACACACTACAGGTCACAATTTTTTATCCGATTTCAATGAAACTTGAAATATACGTTTTATCACCCTAAGATCCCGGTTCCTTTCTATATTGCCATGTATCGGACTGTAACTTCATGGATTATGGCCCCTGATTGTACGAAAAATCACGTTTTCAGCTGGTGAACACTGTAAAGGTGACAATTTTTATCCGATTTGGTTTAAGCTTGGAATGTATGTTTATAACCCACAGATGTCGGTTCCTTTCGATATTCGCCCATATCGAACCATAACTTCCTGAATTATGGCCCCTGATTGTACGAAAAATCGCGATTTTAGCTTGTGGTTCTTCTACAGGTTACAATTATTATTCGATATAAAAAAATCGTTCAAATATATCACCATTACACACTCAGATCAAGGGTTCCTTTTGATAATCGCGTATATCCGCACATAACTTCCTGCATTATGGCTCCTGATTGTTCGAAAAATCGCAATTTTTAGCATGCGGATTCTCTAGAGGTCACAATTTTTTTTTCGATTTTAAAAACCGTTTAAATATATCACCATTCCACCATAATGAAGGTTGAATTCGAATTTCGGGAAAATCGAAATGAAACTGCCCGACAAAATGGCCGCACTTTGTACGCAAATTGTGTAAAAGTATGTTACGAAGGTTGTGGACCCTCTAGAGGTCACAATTTTTATCTGATTTTGATGAAACTTAAAATATATCTTTATATCCCAAAGATCTCAGTCCCTTTTGATATTTGCGCATTTCAGAGCATAACTTTTTGGATTATTGCCCCTGATTGTTTAAAAAATCTTCTCTATCCATCTCTTGCAAAATGTGGGCGTATCCTGCCTGTCAGTCGCTGGTTATTATCTATTATATCCAGGGTGAAAGCAAGTTAAAATTTCCCTTAACTGGTTAACCCGTTAATTATCTAAACCCTAAAACGTGATGATTTTGTACCCAACCTCTTTCAGAGAGATAGAAAAACACTTTCATTTCGGACGGATACAATTGCGTAAGAAGAGACATGCGCCTTTGCTCGTAGACAAGTCCATATATCGAGAATAAACGTTCAGATGATGCTGAAGGCGCACATACAGCAGTCGTTCACCGTAGCTCTTCCACCAAGGAATCGAATTACAACGAACCATACCACCATCACACTTTATTAAATGGTTGTACGCTATTTGGGTACGAGGGAAGGGGGCATTTTGTCTGTCAGTTTTGGTCCAATTTTTACGAAATTCGAACTCAACATCCTTAGGGTGTAACGGTGATATGTTTAAACGATTTTTTAAATCGGATAAAAATTATGACAGCCATAGGGTCACAAACTCAAAACTCGATTTTCGTACAATCAGGAGCCATAATTCAGGAAGTTACTTCCGTTATGCGCAAATATCGAAAGGAACCAAGATCTATGGGTTATAAACTTAAATTTCAAGTTTCATCGAAATCAGAAGAAACTTGTGACCTCTAGAGGGTCCACAACATTGATATACCATATTTTTATGCCATTTTGTCAGTCAATTTTGGTCCGATTTTCACGAAATTCAAACTCAACACTTCCTTAGGGTGTAACGGTGTTATATTCAAACGGTTTTGTGAATCGGATAAAAATTATGACCGCTATAGGGTCCACAAGCTAAAGACACGATTTTTGTCCCCCGCCTTTCGAAGAAAGCAGGGGACTATTAAAATGGGTTCGTCCGTCTGTCTGTCCGTCCGTCCGTCCGTCTGTCCGTCACACTTTTTGGGACACAATAACTCTCTTCCTGATTGAGCTAGAATGTTCAAACTTGGTGTATGTGTTTATTAGGTCAATGCCTTGATGGAGTTCGAAGATGAGCATTTTCCGCTTAGGGTAAGCAGAGATAAGCAATTTGATTGGTTGATGCTTTGGGACACGATAACTCTCTTCCTAATTGGGCTAGAATGTTCAAACTTGGTGTATGTGTTGATTAGGTCAATGCCTTGATGGAGTTCGAAGATGAGCATTTTCCGCTTAGGGTAAGCAGAGATAAGCAATTTGATTGGTTGATGCTTTGGGACACGATAACTTTTAATTGAGCTAGAATGTTCAAACTTGGTGTATGTGTTTATTAGGTCAATGCCTTGATGGAGTTCGAAGATGAGCATTTTCCGCTTAGGGTAAGCAGAGATAAGCAATTTGATTGGTTGATACTTTGGGGCACGATAACTCTCTTCCTGATTGAGCTAGAGTGTTCAAACTTGGTGCATGTGTTGATTAGGTCAATGCCTTGATGGAGTTCGAAGATGAGCATTTTCCGCTTAGGGTAAGCAGAGATAAGCAATTTGATTGGTTGATGCTTTGGGACACGATAACTTTAGTTCTAATTAAGTGAGATTGATGAAACTTGGTGTATAGTTTCATTACAGTAATACCTTGACTAAGTTTGATAATGAGCATTTTCTGCTCAGGGTAAGCAGAGCGATACGCAATTTGATTGGTCGAGACTTTGGAAAACAATAACTCTCCTACTTTGATTGTCGAGACTTTGGAAAACAATAACTCTCCTACTTTGATTGTCCCCCGCCTTTCGAAGAAAGCAGGGAACTATTAAAATGGGTTCGTCCGTCTGTCTGTTTGTCTGTCTGTCCGTTCCGCTTATGGTAAGCAGAGATAAACAATTTGATTGGTTGATCTTCGAATTGAGTAAATGTTCATGCTTATTGTCCCCCGCCTTTCGAAGAAAGCAGGGAACTATTAAAATGGGCTCGTCCGTCTGTCTGTTCGTTCCGCTTAGGGTAAGCAGAGATAAACAATTTGATTGGTTGATGCTTTGGGACACTATAACTTTAGTTCTAATTAAGTAGATAAACAATTTGATTGGTTGATGCTTTGGGACACTATAACTTTAGTTCTAATTAAGTGAGAGTGATGAAACTTGGTGTATAGTTTCATTACAGTAATACCTTGACTAAGATCGATAATGAGCATTTTCTGCTCAGATTAAGCAGAGCGATAAGCAATTTGATTTGCTGAGACTTTGGAACACAATAACTCTCCTTCGAATTGAGTTAAAATGTTCATTTTATCCTATTTTGATGAAACTTGAAATATATGTTTATGTCCCGGTACCTTTCGATATTGGCATGTATCGGATAAATATTTCATGGATTATGCCCCCTGATTGTACAAAAGATTATTTTTAGCTAGTGGGCCCTCTCAAGGTCACAATTTTTATACGCCCACGTATAAATGTGGAGGTATATTGTCCACGATTTCTTGTACATGCCCCAACGCCAAAAGTTATGATCCAATTGTTTTGAAATTGATATATGTTTACATTAGTAAGATGAAGGAGTCCAATTAATTTTAATAATTTCCGTTTATTACGTCAAGGGTTACGGCCCTTGTTTCATTTTGTTGAACGCCAAAAGTTATCATCCAATCTTTGTGAAATTTATATGCATTATTTAAATTAGTGAAACGAAGAAGCCCTTTGAATTTCTGTTTATTACGTCTAGAGTTAGAGTTATGGCCCTCTTTTCACTTTATTGTCCCCCGCCTTTCGAAGAAAGCAGGGGACTATTAAAATGGGTTCGTCGGTCTGTCTGTCACACTTTTTGGGACACAATAACTCTTTCTAATTTACCTAGAATGGTCAAACTTGGTGCAGGTGTTTATTAGGTCAGTGTCTTGATGGAATTCGAAGATGAGCATTTTCTGCTTAGGGGAAGCAATTTGATTGGTTGATGCTTTGGGGCACGATAACTTTAGTTCTAATTAAGTGAGAGTGATGAAACTTGACTAAGTTCGATTATGAGCATTTTCTGCTCAGGGTAAGCAGAGTGATAAGCAATTTGATTGGTTGAGACTTTGGAACACAATAACTCTCCTAATTGAGGTAGAATGTTTAAACTTGGCGTAGGTGAATGTTTAAACTTGATGTAGATGTTCATTAGGAGAATGTTTAAACTTGATGTAGATGTTCATTAGGTGAATGTCTTGACTGAGTTCAATGATAAACGTTTCGAGCTGACGCTAGCTAAGCAGAGCTAATTGATTTCATTTGTCGATGGTTTGGGACAAGATAATCTTGATTCTGTCTGGTAGAGAATGATGAAACTTAATGTATGGTTTAAATGCTTGATACTTTTGAAAAAAATAAATGTGCGATTAATTAATATGTGTCATCTTTTTATTTCGGTATTTCGGCGGGGGACATCAGCCTCACTGTTGGCTTGTTCGTACAATCAGGGGCCATAATTCAGGAAGTTACTATCTGATATGCGCGAATATCGAAAGAAACCGAGATCCTTAGGTTAAAAACTTAAACTTACATTTCAACTTTCATCAAAATCAGAAGAAAATTGTGACCTCTAGAGGACCCACAACCTTGATATGCCATATTTTTACGCTATTTGAGAACGAGGGGCGGCCATTTTGTCTGTCATTTTTGGGCCGATTTTCACGAAATTCGAACTCAACCATCCTTAGGGTGTAACGGTGATATACGAAAACGTGTTTTTTAAATCGGATAAAAATTATGACCTCAATAGGGTCCACAAGCTAAAAACGCGATTTTTCGTACAATCAGGGGCCATAATTCAGGAGGTTATGTTCCGATATGCGCAAATATCGAAACGAACCCAGATCTTTGGGTTATAAACTTACATTTCAAGTTTTATTAAAATAGGATTACAAGCTAAAAAAGGTGATTTTTCGGACAATCAGGGGCCACAATCCAGGAAGTTACGATCCGATATGCGCAAATATAGACAGGAGCCAAGATCCTTAGGTTATAAACATGCATTTCAAGTTTCATCAAAATCGAATTAAAATTGTGACCTCTACAGGGTCCACAACCTTGATATACCATATTTTTACACTATTCGCAAACAAACGGCGGCCATTTTGTCCGGCAATTTTGGTCCGATTTTCACGAAATTCGAACTCAACCTTTCTTACGGTATAACGGTGATATAATCAAACGGTTTTTTTTTTAATCCGACAATAATTGTGACCACAAGCTAAAAAAAAGATTTTTCGGACAATCAGGGGCCATAATTCAGGAGTTCCGATGGGCGCAATTATCGAAAGGAACCAAGATCTTTGGGTTATAAACATGCATGTCAAGTCTGATCAAAATCGGTTCAAAATTGTGAATGTGAGCTCTATAGGGTCCACAAGCTTAAAAGTGATTTTTCGTACAATCAGGGGCCATAATCCATGAAGTTTCGGTCCAATACATGCCAATATCGAAAACAGTCGATATCTTTTGGGGATAAACCTATATTTCAAGTTTCGTCAAAATCGGATAAGAATTGTGACCTGTAGAGAGTCCACAAACAATTGTGGACGGAAGTCCAGACATACGGACGGACAGGGGCGACGACAATATACGTCCACATGAAAATGTGGGCGTATAAAAAAGGAATATATCGATAATTTCAGTCAAATAATTTATGTAAGAATGGAATCGTCTTGATTTTCATTAATAATTAAAGTCTCAACTAGCCATTTTCATGTGGACGTAATTGCCGTCCCCTCTCTCCGTTCAGATTTGTTTGAGGACACAATACAGGTCTCAAATTTAACCCGATTTTGCCGAAACTTGAAATATAGGTTTTATCCCAACGACCTCGGTTCCTTTCGATATTGGCATATATCTGACATATACTTCCTTGATTATACCCCGCGTTTTTAACTTGTTTTTTTGTCCATCTCTTGCAAAATTATTAAAATGAAATCGTGTTTCAATTCATTAATGTTCTAGTGAGTTGAATTTTGGCTTGGCAAATGCCCTATACTAAACCTATTTTGCTTTTGCATAATGCAAAAAAACAAGAAAACAAACAAAAAAGTGGGTTATAACTGGGTCGATTTTCGTGATATATCACAAGGAAGAAACTTGATATGATCTTATCGGGAAAAGATGGGCTAATGATATCCAATATTTAAGACAAAATAAACAATTTATCATTGGTACACGAATCGTGTACCATAATGCGTTTTAGCACGATTTGTAACAAGGCACTCGAAGAACGAGACTAGACATATTCCACAAGTATGTCAACAGTGACGTCATATTCTTATCTGGAGAACATGCGCGATAATTACTATCAGTGTAGATTGGAATAACGAGACCCTAAATATTGCCATTCGATTGAGACCTCTGGCTATTTCGCCGAACATAACTGATTGAATGTAAATCAGTTGCGACCCATTTGTGTCAATTCCTAGGTCCCAAATAATAGCGATTTAGCTCCTTTAAGCGGAGATATTGTCCATACACTATTTTCCTCTGAAATTGTAAACACTCAAGGAAATCAAAGAATTGAGATTGTTTTACTTCTGACTTGCATCACACCCTTGGCCGCCTTCGAATAGCTGCTGATGGGTGTAGTGTTGTGCTTCAACCAAATTTCTTGAAGTATAGTCACCAGTATATTTTTTTTATTCATTTTTTCCAGTACAAGAGAAACAAAAGGAGCTTAATAACATTTTTGTGTGTCCAGGCTCTCTGTCCGAGGCTTTTTATCCCGACTACACTGGAGGCTGTCCCACAAAAAAATATTTACAGTGCAACCACGGTGTTCTCACCAAGAAGACATGTAACACGGGGATGTTTTACAACGATGGTATTGACTCTTGTGACTCGTACACAAAAATACCATGTGCTGTTAGTAACGTTCAGTGTCCCCAGGACTTAATCCACGGAATATACGCGGATTACAGTTCAGGTTGTCCTCCAAAAAAGTATTTTGTTTGTTTAGGTTATTTTGATGAGGCTGCGCAGACCACTCCCACCTACAAATCTGAATACACCTGTCCAGATGGTCTCTATTATAATGAAGGGATTAAAAGTTGTGATTTTATACAAAACATCCCTTGTCAACACAATATTAAAAACTGATGGAACATTATAAAATACAGTGTGCAATACGTTTTTTTTTTTTTGGCAAACGGTATGTCAGTTAAAATACCGAAAAGTTTTAAGCAAAAGGACACACATTTGGATTTTGCAGCCACTTTAAAATTTGTGTTAAATGTGCGAATCTCTTCAATATTTGATGTCATTTTCGGTCATAATTTAAGACGATCTTCTATCAATTATAAGTTGTTCTAGAAAGGTTAGGAAAGCTAGGTCACCCCGAAGAGTAACACTGTGTGGAAGGTACATATAGGCAAATGTTTACTATCCATTTATTATATCTTGCCTAATAAAATTTTGAGAATTCACTCTAGATCGTACTTTTGAAATATTTGTCCCCCGCCTTTCGAAGAAAGCAGGGGACTATTAAAATGGGTTCGTCCGTCTGTCTGTCTGTCCGTCCGTCACACTTTTTGGGACACAATAACTCTCTTCCTAATTGAGCTAGAATGTTCAAACTTGGTGTATGTGTTTATTAGGTCAATGCCTTGATGGAGTTCGAAGATGAGCATTTTCCGCTTAGGGTAAGCAGAGATAAGCAATTTGATTGGTTGATGCTTTGGGACACGATAACTCTCTTCCTAATTGGGCTAGAATATTCAAACTTGGTGTATGTGTTGATTAGGTCAATGCCGTGATGGAGTTCGAAGATGAGCATTTTCCGCTTAGGGTAAGCAGAGATAAGCAATTTGATTGGTTGATGCTTTGGGACACGATAACTTTTAATTGAGCTAGAATGTTCAAACTTGGTGTATGTGTTTATTAGGTCAATGCCTTGATGGAGTTCGAAGATGAGCATTTTCCGCTTAGGGTAAGCAGAGATAAGCAATTTGATTGGTTGATACTTTGGGGCACGATAACTCTCTTCCTAATTGAGCTAGAATGTTCAAACTTGGTGTATGTGTTGATTAGGTCAATGCCTTGATGGAGTTCGAAGATGAGCATTTTCCGCTTAGGGTAAGCAGAGATAAGCAATTTGATTGGTTGATGCTTTGGGACACGATAACTTTAGTTCTAATTAAGTGAGATTGATGAAACTTGGTGTATAGTTTCATTACAGTAATACCTTGACTAAGTTTGATAATGAGCATTTTCTGCTCAGGGTAAGCAGAGCGATACGCAATTTCATTGGTCGAGACTTTGGAAAACAATAACTCTCCTACTTTGATTGTTAGACTATAAGTAAAGATATACTGTTTGATTGTTCAATACTTTGTAAAAGATAATTTGTGATAAATTTATATGTGTCCTCTAATTATTTTCCTATTTCGGCGGGGGACATCAGCCTCACTGTTGGCTTGTGGTTGCTGTTATGGTCGAATGTTTTGGAAATATTTTTGTGTTAAAGGCGGATTATTCTATTGACTTTAATGTTAATTCTCGTGTTTTTAACCTGACTCGAGCATTTTCCAAAATTTTCTTTTCGTTAAATGCTGTCTACCACAAATGAAGCAGCATCTTGTCCATGAGAGCGGTTGGAGTTCACAAGCAGCACACTAGTAAGCATGTAACTCACCTCTTAACTCTAGTATCCTTCCGCCTCATAGTCATGCATGTTCATCAAAACAGTCGGCACTGTCATGGAAAAGTGGGGGGGGGGGGAGGGGGCGAGAACGTTCGTGGTTAATTGATGATATAACATGTGCAAAATCCATGCAATAGAAAGTGCAAGATGACCGCACCACACTAGACTATTGTTCCCCAATATGGGACCGTCGTGAGGCTAAATCTCTTGACCTTCTTTCTCGACAGCAAATGATGGCTTTAAAATTAATTTTAGATGTAAAACATACTGTCGACGTTAGCCTTCAACTAGACGATTTGATAATTCTTACAATTGTAAATCGATATATCTCTAACCCATCTATATTTATCTATAAAATTATGCTAAAACAATGCCCTGATTACTTATTTGACCCTTAACCTTATTATCGAACTGATTATAATCATCTTAAAGGGAAAGACCAACGATTTTCAACAAGGTTTTCAGAAATTTTAATTATATATTCCGAAATAAAGCCCTCGGTAACACAAGCAAAAACAAATTTTTCGCGAAAAATTAATTTTAATTAAAACCGGAAGTGGTGTAGTTGGTTTAACACGCTCGCTTGTCTATAATAAGCATACAGATCTGGGTATGTTAAACGTTCTATTTTGTTCACGCATCGTCGTTTGGACGAACATCTGATTAAGGAGACTGTTTATCGGGATATTATAAATATGTAATTGTTTTTAAACGTTTAATACACACAACTGACGCCTAAATTTACTCATACTGAATAGTACTCTGTGGGCCAATTCAAGTAGTTTGTTTGACACTCGTCAAGTGACAGAAATTTCGTCTGCTTGAATGTTTTTGTGCGTGCTGTGTCTGTGCTTTAATATATTTTAACAGACCTGTGGCACATATATATTGAAATAAATTTCAAAAATATGTCAACGTCAGACATCAACATGTCGGAATATATATCGTCTATGAGTCTGTAGTAATGCAGATTCGAGCCAAGCAATTCTCAAGTGGAAATGGAAGAATAAAAAAAGAAAAAGTCGTTCACGTCGACATTATGTGCCAAAATGCACTATATATTACTCACATGCTCAATATTTTCGTCTGTTTATGTTGCAAATCACTGTCAGAATGCACAAAAACATTGAAGTCACTTTCAGGGTGTCAAACAAACCACGTGATGTAAACATGTGGCGTGAATAAACCCAGTTTAGTATGAGTGAATTTACCCGACGGCTTTGTGTGTACTCTACGTTACCCCCCCCCCCCCCCATAATTTCGTGTCTATAATATCCTAATAAACAGCCCCCCCCCCCCCCCTATCAGAAGTACGTCCAAACGACGATGCGTGAAAAAAATAGAGCGTTTAATATACCCCAAATCTGTATGCTTACTATAGAGAGTGTAGCGACCAGCGACTGTGTTGAACCAACTATATCACCCGCTTTTCATAAAAATTAATTTCTCCCTTACAAAAGCTGTTTTGCTTGTGTTACAGAGGGGTATGTTTCTGAATATATTATATTTAAAATTTATGGAAGCCTTGATGAAAATCGTTGGTCTTCCCCTTTAACAATTAACTTGCTACTCTCAAGCCAAATATTTCTGTTATATGACTCTTATATACTATATTTAATCTTTTAAAGTGTTTTTGTATGTTTTCCACTCTATTGTAAATAGTTGTGGTGTGTCATTAAATTTATCGCGTTATATCTTTTGTATTATATTTTCTATGTAAGGCAGGATGTTAGAAAGGCTATTATAGCCTAATGTTCAAATGTTATCTACATTATTAATTAGACATTAATTAACTTATCCAGACCATAATCAACTCCGATGCCATCGTTGTCCTGTGATATTTAGTGTATTTGAATACATCTTGTGATGGATAATTTAACGTAAAATTAGATAATCGAGATTTGGTTTATTATCGCACCAAAAATAGTAATGACGTTGGAGGCTAGCCTACACATGAATCGCTAATATCTCGGTTCACGGTGAAGCAATGTGACTGGAATTTGCAGCATATTCTTTTTTAAATAATGCTCCTTTAATTAAAACCATTATTACTATTATTATAAGCTACTACACGTAAGACAAACCCACGGACAAGAACCACTATACAGATACATCAAATCAAGTGTCCGTTGCGCTTTAAATCCCTCCCATTATTTAACATGGACATGGTGTTATAAACATACATTCATCAAAATCAGATAATAATTGTTACCTCTAGAGTATCGGACGCGCTAATAACGTAATTCTTCGTACATTCAGGGGTCGTAATACATGCCACTATCGATAGGAACCTAAATCTTTGCCATGCACCCCTAGTTTCGTCTAAATCGGACAAACATTCTGATCTGTAACGTGTCTAGAAACCAATTGAGAACGTCCGGACGGACAGCGGCGACAATATACGTCCAGATAAAAAAAAATATGGGCGTATAAAAATGGGACAATTCATGACAGCGCTGCAATGTAATGCCAAGATAATTTTTTTATTTCAATTTCTATCAGTTAACTTCTTTCAAGGAGTCGAGTCAGTCCTTTAACAATTTTACACCGACGTCATGATTTAAAGAATAACACCGCAAATGAAAAACGTTAATCTTAGAATATTTTTTGGCCCTGCGAAATTCTAAAAGTCACTCTGAATATTTTTACAAAGGTTAAATATACCCCAAAAACCTGAACTGATCTGCAGTCTCATTTTGATTTTTTCCGTGAGTGACGTCAGCGACGATTGACGTTATGAATTTCCCTATAGAAGGATATTGCAACTGAGCAATGCATTCCGTCATTTTGACTAACTGGAAGCATAAACATGATCAGTTGCAACCCGAATTGATCTGCAGCCTCATTTTGATTTTGTTCGTGAGTGACGCCAGCGACGACTGACGTAAATTTCCCTATAGAAGGATACTGCAACTGAGCAATGCATTCCGTCATTTTGACTAATTGGAAACATAAACATGATCAGTAGTTCCGGTCACCCAGGACCTCCTAGTCTTCAACGTAATGAGGGTCTGGGACCGTTGTCAATATTTGACGTAAAGTCCATTGCCCATGCGTAACCGGGAGTTTGGTTTTTAATGTGGTTGATTACCAGCATCTTTGACCAAGTAAGAGTTGCGCCCCTTCCCGCAATAAAACCCATAATTCTTGCATTAATATAAACAAACATGAATCGTGACATACAAATGGCCCATGAGTGTTGAATTATGAGTGTTGGATATTGAACTGGCATGCAATCAAATGGATTTTTTGAAATGGCATTCTTAAATACAGATCAAAATTAAGTGCAATCAATATTTGATAAAATACTAGAACAGCTTGTTATGGAACTCGAATCTTTATATTTTGGGTTTGCATATGAAGAAAACGACATAGATGGAATCTGTAGTATATGCAGGGTTACTTAATACAATTGGGGATACACCAGTAAACAACCCTCTTGGTGTCTTTAAACAAGGAGTTGGTGGTGCGTACATGGGTGTAAAGTTACCGTTATTAGAGCATCGCAAACACTGCAATATATGTCCATATTCCTGCTTTCATTGATATGGTGCTTTTTAAAATGAAGAGAATTGAATATGAAATAGCTGCAATGACTGTAATATGACAAGAGGCAAAGAAGGCTAGGCGTTGGGTTTGTTTTGCCAAATATTAACAAAATATGGATGTGCCACCGCCCCAAGGGGTCGGGGCATGCACCAAAATAAATAGTTGCTGTCTTTACGGTATAAGGAATAAATATGCAAAGTTCCAAGATTATCCATTCAGAATTGCAGCCCGCAG